CAGATCATTGATAAAGATGTTAAACAGAACTTCCTGAACAATCACCTAGTTATTTTACAGATTTCAAAAGCAAAATAGAAATAATTTGTAAAATGCAACACCTGCAGGAGACACAGATGTGTTTTCTCTACTATTTATTCTGAGAATGCTTTCTGATCCCTGGGTTCAGTTCTTCAAAAGTAATTTACTGTGGACAGGAACAGGACTCTCCAGTCTTGATGGAAGCCAATTGTATATCCCTTCACAGAAGGGTGAACTACATGAATTTTAAAGCAGCCTTAGGAAAGCTGATCTGGACAGTTGTAATGAGAGGGAACACACTTGGCAAGAATATCAGCATTCCATAAAAGCTGGTTGTTACACACTGACTGACAACATTCCTGTCTCAGAGAGTAACTAGAAGTCACATCTGATGAATATTCTCGCTGACAGAGCTCCTTCTGTAGTGCACTTGCTTTGAGACTGATTACACAAGTAATTTCCCTTTCATCTGAACAAATCAAGACAAGAGGAAAACAGCAGCTTTACTAACATAAATCAGGACTGTTGGATAAGGAGTGAAAACTAAGGAAAAAGAAGTCAAATTGATCTATGTACCAGCTTCTCTACAGGAGCTGGATAAAAACTCGTCTTCTGTAAAATTCAGTACCTTTGCCAGTGCCTTCCTTTCCCTGTATATTGAAGCAAAGAGCTATCATTAATTTAATTGCCGTGTCTTCTGACTTTCTCTAGAAGACCTCGCTAGAATGTACCAGCAGTTCTTCTGTGCAGTTTTAATGAGATTAACAGCTACAGAACTCTTAACACTATGACAGTAATGGCTTCAGTATGATTTCAATGTGATATCATAGGATAAATTTTTGCTTAATTTATCTAATGATTGCCAATAATACTTGGGGGTGGGGAAAGGTCACTAAGTTGTTTTACTTATTTAATTCAGGAGGCTTACTGGTAAGACTAAGGGAAAACAGATTCATTCATTATTAACAGTTCACTAGGTATTACATAGCTAAAGCAATAATAACAATATAAATAGCTACTAGTATAAGGACAATTTTTTTTCATGTCACGATGAACAATTAATCACCCCTTGCTTAAAAAAATTGTTAACTTGGCAAATCTGAGTTTCAAGATGTTACGCTTACTGTTTCAACAAGAAATAGTTTCCTGATAGAATTCTTCCTCTTACAACATCATTAAAGCCTTCTCGTCGTGTTGCAGCATACATACTTTCTGTGGACTTGTTAATGTCAGAACGGTGCCCTGGAAAGAAAAAGCAATTTGGAAATTAACACTTTGTTTAATCTTTAAGATCAAACAACATAAGGTGATGTTATACATAGTATACAACAGGCCACTGTTTGCTGCAGTCTAACATGCTACTATTCTGGAAAAACCACAAATCATGTTCCTGTTTTATTACTGAAATATTAAACAGATTGTAAGCCCAGACACTTACATATCTAGGGGTGAAATATATTAAAATATGTAGTTATTTACTTATTCTTATTTGTACAGGGTTTTTACTGTATTCAATCTTGGAGAAATAACACCAAACATTCAACCATGAAAAGCATATCTATTAAAACTAATAATTTGCAACGGCATCCAGCAATGTTTCTATTGTCTGAGAAAAAAGTTTTTTCAAAGGCCTTACCATATTCCAGTCCATCAAACCTGGCCATATTTGATGCCACTTCTGCTGCGCACAGCACATGATAGCAGACAATTGAGTAACGAGTGTGTGGTAGACTCACTTCAATTACTTTAGCACCTGCATTCTTAAAGAGGTCAGCAGCCTTTGACCAGAGTGCCAGAATCTCACTAGAAAGCCCTGGTGCATGATATTCCTTAGAGAAAAACAAGAAGGGGAGTGATTTTACATACTGGTTTACTTCTAATGGCAACCAAAATGCAAATACTCCTTGGTAAAAACAGATTAAAACTACATGACTTAAAGTACTTAAAGCTTCTTGCATCTACTAAATATTATACAACTAAGCAGTATTAAATTAACAGGATTCAGTTGTCTTAAGAATATTATGTTCATCTCAGTAGGATCAACCCACATACCACAGACCATGGAATATCAGCAGTTTCTTCTGAAGGAGAAATTGCCTAGTTATCCACTTATTTGTCTATTCATGGAGACTACACTGCACTGCTCTGCAGTTCGTGGGCGGAAATTCTTCAGGTTTAAATCCTAATACTAGGGCTACTGTGAGTAGGAAAGATAAAAAGAAATTATGGCCACAGCATATCAGCAGCAACTGGCATGAAACAAACAAAACAACCCACCAAAGAAGATTTGCAATCAAGGGGTTGGGAGAAGACTTAGAAAAGCCATGCTCCTGTTCAAGAGCTAAGCTAAAGATACTCTGTTTTTGAAGATACTTGCTTTAGTTCTAACCCATAATATCAGGGTCATAAGACTGTCTGATTTCTGAGTAGCTATGGCCCGTGTTTAATATATATATGTCTCTGTTTCGGATAACCTGTAGCAGCAGAAAACAACTGTCCAAAGGATGTGAATAATCAACCAATACCACTATTTTAGATTTATCAAAAATCAAAGCATGCAGCTAATTATTTTTTCTAGGCATACAATTTTTGCATTTCACAGATCCTGAATAATTGGTCAGTGGACATCTCTGCTTACCAAATTAAATCTTTTGGCATACCTGTTCTAGCACAGGTTCAAACACCGAGAATCAAACCAATAAATGTTATTCACGTTGTCTCTTTGAAGGCAGAGCCTTTACTAAATTAAAAATAGGCTGAAGTTCCAAATGTTGTGCCTAAATTGCAAGTATCCTCATACTTACAAACATGATTGAATTGCATACATGGGAAGCCAGATTACAGTTGTCTTTCAACCCTTATCAGAGCTCTACGCATCACAGTGCCTTGCGCCACTCAATTGCCTATAAAATTCTGCTTCAAATTAACACAGTGCCATTTAGACAAGTATCTCAAAGCACTGCACAAACCAGTACTAACCTCACTGTATGAGAAGGCACTAAGAGCAACTTGTTTCAGGCTATACAGGTGACTGATGAAAGAGCAACAGAGAGAACCAAGAATTTAAGTTCCCTGTTTCCCCTGGAACTTCCTGACTGTACTTGCCACAATGACAACAAAATGTTTTAGACGGAGCATTAGCATATGCTCACTCTGAATTGCCTGCACAGGCAACAGAGCACATACTGCTCTTTTCCAGGAGCTGCTTGTACTATCTTTGCTGGTTTACACCATGAGAGACTGGGGAGTGGTAGGCAAGACAAATATTTTTTTGTTAGGTGCCCTGTTTGCTGTGCCTGTCCACAATTGTTGGCAGGATTTAAATGTTACCTTCGGAATTCCTATTGAGAGCTTGCTGACGTCAGCCAAATTGGGTAGTTCAAATGGCTTAAAGTTGTCCTGAATTGTGGTAGAGTCTTTAGGATCATGTCCAGCAAGTGAACCTGAAATACGACATGAAGAACAGGAAAGCGTACACTGGACAGCCAGAATTCAATTTGTTTTGAGACAACGTTGTAAACGACGATGTATTGCATACAGAGACATATGAAGTAGTAATACCTAACACAACTGCTGCGTCATCCACACATCTGGTTAGGATTCCTGGCACATCCATGGAGTTCACTAGAGGAATGAGACCATGGCGAGAGATCCGTCCATATGTTGGCTTTAAACCTACTACACCACAGTGAGCAGCAGGGTTTCGGGTAGATCCTCCTGTGTCTGACCCTAAAGCTCTATGGTTTCAAAAGAATTATCATTAGTAAAACAATTCAGAACACTTCCAAACAATAAAAAAGCTATGGTTTCAAGATGCATGGATTTAAAAATATGTGAATTCTTTCAGATTAGAAATCATAATCCTATGGCCTAAATTTCAGTCTGCTCCCTAAGGCTGCTAACTTGTATTCTCTTATTTTTCTTAGGGCCTCTGAATTACCCATCAGGAGAGCCCAGTTCTCTCCACAAAGCAGAGGTAGATAGGAAGAATTCAGGCCCTCCAAATACAGCCCTGAATATCTACTTCTACCTTCTCTGTCAGTCTGTTCCAATTCTGTGGACTCTGAAAAATATGCCTCACATGATTTAGAGTACAATTTTCAGACACTGCCACCTTATTTATTCAGTAGCAAATACACTATGAAGCAGCATTTTCCAGTATTCAAATAAATAGCAACACAGTACACTTTTCACCCCTGACAACACGGCATACTTTTCAAAGTTAAGGATCTTTTTCCTGTTTCCAAACCTACAAAGCACAGCATCAGAACTCTCCGCCTAGAGCAGCTTAGGTTCATTTCTAAAACACAGCATTATTTATTTATTTATTTATTTTACTTCTTTTTGTTCACATGTGAAACCTTGTTCTTGCTAAACTGATTTTTTTTTTTTCAAAATTGTAATGGAACTGGAAATTCATACTCAAATTAAACCTGTTCTTCTCTTGTTTTTAATAATTTTAACTCAAACATCATTAAAAAAAATAGACAGCTTTCACCCAAATCTTTGCCAAAACCAGATTAAACTTCAGAAGCAGGTATAATTTTTATTGAAGTGGGTATGTGACTTTTCCCATAGGCATCTGTTTCTGAGATGGCTGAACCAATCCAATTGACTCTGCTGAAGTGGAATTTTTTCAAAGCTTTTGTGTTGATATAAAACATTCTCAAATTTGTAGCATTTCATCAAAACTCAAATTGAAAAGACAAAGACTGGCAGCATTTCTGATGCTTGAAAGAAACTAATAAGAGCAGATATACAGTAGGTTATAGGCAATAAAATAGATGGATGAAAAATCTCCCTGACCTGACAAAGTGCTGAGCAGTGCAAAACAGGAGTTCAGCACGCCCAGCAACGTAGGAGATGGTGCCAGACCATAACGGAATCAGGCCATTCTGGCTCAGGACAAGGACCAGCAGTCTTTGGGAATGACTGCACAGTTTCAACGGTATTAAAATGTTGAGTATACCACATCCTAGCAAAGGGCAATGAGATGGACAGGTATCATCTGAAAAATCATAAAATAAATTGGGCTCTGTATATAAAAAACCATTGTATTTGTTTTAAAAAGCTGTAATCAACAGTAGCAAAAAATATTTTAGCAATAAAATAGACGTTTATAATATAGTCTATGGGTAAACAAGGACACAGTAACTAAAGAGCATTCTTAAACACCTTCCAGTTAAGAGCACAACTGAAAAAGTCTTCTATAAAATATCCTCCACTATGCATCTTTGAAAGCTGCATAAAATGAAAGGTGTAAACTTTTAAGGATCAGATTTAACAGCTGGATGAGGAAGACAGTATAGACAACTGATTTGTTAAACAGTGTGTTGCTATTCCATGCAAATAATAATTGTAAAAAAAAAAAAATCTGGCTTGTTTAAATTCCTTTCTAAAAAAACCCAAAAAACCAAACCCAAAACCATAAAACTGTCTTCTAACTTTTTTAAACCAGACAAGATTATAAGTATCTGTGTATCCTTTTCTTGGAGTCAGGGAACTGGAAGCTTTGAGATCACAAATCTCACAGATTATTACATAACCCTGCTATAAAAACAAAGCAGGGGAGGAAAAATTACTATACTACTACAAATTAAGGGATCACCTCATCTGCTGAATTACGTTTTCAGCGTGTGTTTGTGTAATGCATTTACTGAGGAAGAGGATGCATCTCAAACCCTATGTTAATTTTAAGACAGCAGGTGGGAATAACAATAAAACTGTCGTTCCTTTACTGCCATTATCATTTATTTCATGCAAAGTGGGCATATCACTACGTTGAATAACACTCAAAATGAATAAGCCTAAATTTTCCTACATGGATTCATTCTGTCTTCATGATATGCCACAAATTAGGGATGCTGAAATAAACTCTTACATGCCAGCGTAAATAACCCTCCAATTTCCAACTACACCGTGAGAAAATTATAAAATTAAAACCTTGCAACATATTTTGAGACATTTAATACAAAACAATTTAAAAAAATCTCTTACGCAAAACACGTGAAAGATGACACAGCAGCTGCACTGCCTCCTGAGCTCCCTCCCGCTATTACCCAGTTAGATTCTTTGTCCTCAGAATGGGATTTTGGGACAGATTTTTCCTTGTATTGTCTTGAATAACTCCAGGGATTTCTGACTGGTCCAAATACCCCATCCGTACTCCCAGATCTAAGACAGTCAGACAGAACAAATACAGACAGAAGTGACAGATGACACTCTGCATTGACCAAATTTTTTTCCTTTATTCAATTACTCATCCTTCATCCTAGCAAATTCAATCTCAACACAGAAAGAGCGGTGTACGTAAATCCTTGGGCAGTCAACTTCAACAATGTTACACAGAATTGTAAAGTTTATAGGTCTTCATCCCCATCTGACACAGAAGTTGAACTCGCACCTCTTTCTAACTTCTGCTAGTGCCACCGAAAAGAATGTAATCACAGAAACACAAAACTGATTTAAGCTAGGTAACAGTAAAGCTGCACACCTGCTTCAAGACAAAGGCCTTCTGGTTTCTTAACCCCGCATTTGGAAAAGGTAAAAGATGACGACCACAGTCTTGTGGAAAACCATGCTGCTAAAGGGGTGGAAAAAGCCCCGCAATATCAGGAACAAGCACTTCTCTGTAAGTAACACACTATTATTACTCACTCTGTAGCCCTCTCCTGAGGCCACAGTTTGCTGGTTCAGAGTGCTAGACTGCCTTCTCAGAAACCGTTTTCAGTCAGCCTGTGGTCACCTAAGTGTGAGCTACCACCAGAAGCAGAGGGTGAGGGTGTTGGTACTTTCCTCCTTCCTCACAGCCTCCACTCCATGTTCCTCCTGACTCCAGGGTGCCAGTGCTATTAGTCATATCATTAGACAGAGGTGGCAGTTGACATAGCAGTTGAAAACTAACCTTATTGAGACAACATTACGTTAAGAGCCGGACCTGCTCCCTGATCAAGCTCATGGTGCAGCCAACAGTGTCGGTGCTAGCATAAGAGACCATGCAAACACACGGACCAGAGACAAGAGGCCAGCAATGGGATAAGCCTTTTGAGGAGAATCTTGTTCTTTAATGAGCTTAGATCAGTTGTAATACTGCATAATAATTTTTTTCTGTGCTTTTTCCCTGCTTTTCCTCTGAAGAGTCTCTTTGACACAGAAATTACTTCATCCAAAGCAACACATTCCAAGTGTTTCCGCCTCATTCATGTAAATTCCCAACCAAACCTCTGATTTCTGTTTAGGTAAAATAAAACGGAACCCAAAACACAACACTTATTGTTTCTCACAGGTAACTAAAGTCCCAGGCGTAGCTTTCCAGACCCAGCAGTTGTGGTGACAGAGACCCCCACCCCTATTGGCCCAATGCTGTTCCCTGCTATAGCTTGGTTGCCTTCACTGATTTGCTGGAGAATCAATTTGTGAGACCATTTTCCAACATGCTCCTGACAAAAAGTCACCAACATTAGCTTAGGCGATTTAAAATGTTGCTCTAGATTAGCCTGCGTGCAGAAAATCAGGGAGTAACTGTACGAAGTATTCCAGCGGATGACTGGCAGAGGCAGTGGCTGCCATCAGAGGCACGATAATAATTAGCTACGGGCAAACCCCATCCAGTAGGTAAAGAGAAAAAGGCAGCAATTAACTGCTGTTGTAACCAACTCTACTACCGGATCTGGAAGAAGTCTGCTTGTCCTTGGCCTTCAGCAAAGGGTTTACCACTTCCTCCTTCTCAAACACAGCTATAGTCGAACACTATGTTCATAAAACTCAGCATCTGTATCATTTACACAACAGCATAAATGCTCAGGGAGAAATTCATGCAATTCTCTATACTCTTCACAGGTCACTATTCATTATTTTCTAACCTCACAGAAAGAGGAATTAAGGATTACAGGTAGACTGGAACAGATGGTGTGTATTCTATTTAATGTACAATCACACATTAAAAATAATAAACATCACTCACCCCATTGCAAATTCATCCAGGTTTGTTTTTCCTAAAAGCACAGCTCCCTGATCCAGTAATTTCTGAACCACTGTAGCACTGTAAGGAGAAATATAACCTGAAAACAATCAGAACAATTAAGAGTGATTGGTGTGATACAGCTGATTTTTACAAGTAGCTACTCTGAACACTTCAAAGTAGTCATTATTTGTGCATAAGAATTGTCAGTTCACAGTGCCAAAACTTCGCTTCAAGATAACATGAGTAATTTCCAAAATACAGCAAAAGTAAACCAAATGCTGGTTTGTTTGCAATGTCTTTTTTTTTTTTTTTCCTCCACAACTTACAACCCAGTAATTCTAGATTATACATTTCGACACTGTGGAGCTAAGACTTCACATGAACTACCACAAGGGTAGCAAATTACTGCATTCAGCCAATTTGCAGGAACTGTCTAAAATCAGAAGAAACGAGAAACACCTCTTTACAGAAAAGTGCTAAGTTATCTGGAATTATCTCCCATTACCGGGCTATAAACGAGCATATGGTTAACCACAAGCTGAAACACTAACTGCCTGTCTTCTGATCAAACACGTGCATCCTTGACCACTTAGATCTTATATAAGCTACAATGAGAACCATGACACCTACATGAGATCCCAGGTAGCAACCAAATCCTTTCGTGAATATTGGCAGGGGTTTCTCCACCCCAGCCCTCAATGGGAACAACAAGGACAACATCACTCCTAATACTCTCAGCCATGACATTGCAATCGATCACAATGGATTTGAGAACATGCTTTAAGGAAAAGCACCTCAAGTAATATAACAGTTTTTAAAATGGCAAAGTCATATTTTGTTTCTTCTGCTATTAAAAAAACCACAATCAGATTAGGGTTCTGCTAATTTAATTGAGGTATCTTCCACAAAACTTTTCAGTTTCACTTTATGCAGAATAAAACAGACATAAGAAATGTTTTCTACTTTTGCTTTTACTATGAAAACATTCTAATGCCTTGAAAATAAAATGTTCACGGCATGTTAACAGTCAAAAGACCGTCTTCACATCTTGCTAGACAGAACAGTACCAACTGCTTTCCTGTAGACCTAAGAGTAAAGCAAAGCAAAATGCAAACTATAGGACAATTCTATTTTAGTATATAGACTGTAATAAACTTTGCTTCATTAAAAACATGTAACTATATGAATAAAGAAGCTAATGTGCTTACACAAGAGAAAGATGCATCTGTAATATCAGATGAGCTTGTTAGAAATTAGACAAATGCATTTTCTCAAATGAGTTCAGCTCATTTTCTGAAAATATGCAGATTTCTGGAAGACTCCACTCCATAAAGCCTCTAAAGAGAAGAGCAAGAGCTCTAAAGTTAGATCTGATTTTACTTTAAAAGCTCTACTGTACCTTTTAGCATGTTTGATGCACATGTTGTCTCAATGCCAGCTGTATTAAAGTTGTCTTTTACTGCAATAGGAATTCCATCTAAAACACCCAGTGGCCGACCTGCATTAGGAATTATTGCAAAGACAACAGATTAAAGCCAAGTAGTGCTATATGGATAGTCTTCCTATCAATCACAGTTCATGTTACACGTCTCTTTGGGTGTTTTTTGGAAGCAAGAACACTATCCACTTAGCATTTGATGGTTGTCTGTCACATTTTCAAGAACCATCTTCCATTCTAACTCCAGCATTGCGCATTCTACCCAAACCCGACCTGGCACTGCAGAGCAGAGCTCTGCAAACGTGTCTAACCCCACAAGACAGGCAGCTGCTTTCGTATAAGTTAGCTATCCCAAAGGAGTGCTTACCTCTTCAAACACGACCATGTAACGCTTATTTCAGCCACAGGTGCTGTCTAAATCTACTCCATCCCCAGGCTGGGAGCCATAAATTCTGCCTACCTGACATATACAATAAAGATGATCTAAAAAAATTACTGAAGCAGAGAAAATCTTCCCTAAGTGATCAATTATCCACTATCCAGAAAAAAAAGAAAAAAAAAAAAAAATAAAGACCTATGTCAGGAAGCAAAACACTCTGGCTGGCAATTTTCTTAAGCTGCCAGAGGACAGCAAATGTCACCCAGGAACAAAAAAAAGAGTAACTTACTAGGCAAAAATGTCCCTCTTCTGTCTTCTGGAAAATGCAAATAAAAATTAGAATGGTCAGCCTCTAAATGCTGCAGATAACAGGACTGCATGTCCTGTTCACCAGCTAATAAAGGCAATTAACAAAGTTGCTTGATTTTCATTTGCTTTCTGAATTTAAAACCTGATAGGCTGAGCCAGGTGTTTGCCTACCCCAGCCAACAGGCCCGCGAAAGACCGCTGCACCTTCCTGGTCGTGGTACCTGCTGGCCACCAACTCCAACCAAACTGCCAAGGAAAAAGACGAAGCGACCAGTAGCAGTGCTGCTCAGAAGCACAGAGCCTGTTTAATCTGCAGCGCCTGGTTGTTCGATCCAGGTTTCGCCTCCGATTTTGGAGCTGGACACACAACTGGGTGCCCAGCGTGCACCCACGAGCGTGCACCCGCAGGAGCCCCAACTGCAAGCCTCATCCTCTAATAGTCAAACAAAGAGCACATACACCTGTTTTAAAAAGCAAACGTGCTTCATCTAACCCAAAGTGCTCCTCCACAACAGCTTTTCAAGGACTAATATTAATTGCAAACAAACATACCATTTCTGTATCTTTTCTCTGATTCTTCAGCCTGCTTCAAAGCAGTTTCTCCCGCCACAGTAATGTAAGCATTGAGAAACTTGGTGCTTTTGATGAGGGAAAGGCACCTCTGGCAGAGCTCCGTCGGAGTGACACGTCCTTCCTTCAGCGCTGCCGACACCTGAAAGCGCAACCCCCCTTTCACGGCAGCCAGGTGAC